CATAGTGCAACGGAAATTTGAGTTTGGTAAGACTGATTTACGTAATTATACGTAACGTTCTGCGCCAGCCGCGACAACATACATATATTACTTTATCTACGAGATTTATTAAATCATTTGCTACGTTTTGATTAAAATTTTTTTCGGAAAATAATAATTTTTAAATATTTCGTAAAATCTTTGGTAAGAAAAATAATAAAATAATAAATTTTTTAATGTAATTTATGGTGAAATAATTTCGTTAGAAAAAAATTAGAAAATTCTATTTATTTAGATAATTTAATTTATTAACTTATTTATTAATTGTTTTAGCAGGTTAATCGAAAAAAATCATGGATTTAATAATTATCTTCATTATTCATTAAACTTTATACTTGATTCACATCTGACTTGGTCAATTAAAAATCTATAATATCTCTGTAGAAAACAATATTTTCCGTATTTGTAAATATTTAGCATCTCTAAACTATTATAACAAATGTTAACGTTCGTAACTTGCTTTAATAAATTATTTTTTATTATTATCTAACAATGATTTATAATTATGATTTCTATTTCTTCTTAATTAACAGCTATAATTATAGGACATGACATGCTAATTGCATAATAGTTTATTATAATTAATAGTAATTCGACCTTGAATTTGAACTTGTTTTTAAATATTATATTTATTTTTAAGTATCATAGTTTAAAGAATCATCTATGTTAGTTGAAAATTTATTTCTAGAATTCATATATTTGATGGAGGAAACAACTTTTAATTTGCTCGGAATTTATTTGTCTTGGAGTCATTGTGCAACTTTTGAATATAATACAGAATTCAAGCTTTTAGAAACTCTAAACTATTTTTTCAAGTTTTGCATTTAATACTTTAGTCACAAAACATTCTTTATACGTAAATGATAACGATATGATTATGCAAAAGCTATAATTATATTATCTTATGATGTTGTTTCGAAATGGGAAAATTATTACGAATATTTATTTATTTATGTGAACATCAATTTAATCTACATTTTTCTTAGGTTAAAAATAAATAAAATGAGAGCATATTTTCGGGGGGAATGCTTAATAAGCATTGTTTACTATAATTTAACTTTATATTTTTTGTCCTTTTTATTGTTTTTTCTTGTCTAGTTCTTGAAATAATTCAAATTATCTAATGATTACAATGTGTACAAATTCTTTTTATCTATAATATAAATTTTACCTTTTGTATTTTCATATTTTAATTTTAAATAAAGAAATGAATGAATCATTATATATACAGTGAAATTTCATATTCAATTTTTTTCTAATGCAAAAATTTCTTTTAAATATTTTCAAAACCAACAGCGAATAAAAATGAAACATAACAATTATTACAAATCTATAAAATAACTTTTCCTAATGATTTGGATCAAACATCATTTGTCATAAGATATGCTAATAAAACGAAAAGATTTTATTTTATTATAAGATTTATTAAAAAAAAAGTAAAAATAATAGGCATTTACATAATTACAATATTAAAAAAAATTAGCGATATTTAATAAATTTAATTTTTTTAAAATAGTTTAATAATTTGAGAAATATTCCCAGTCCGATCGGCAAATTACACAAGTAACCTTTTTTATGAAAAAAATATATAAATTAAAAATGAATGAATAAATTAATATTTAGAAAAGAATTGAATTTTAGAATTAGGATTTTACCTTTCGATTTGCTTGAAATGTACTTTCCCATTTTAAAAAGCAATCTTGGTGTAAATTTTTTCCACAACCACCTTCACACCAAACCAAGATTTTTTGATTATTCAAAGGTTCGTAACTAATTATTGTAATATATTAGATTAGATTTATAGATTAATTTAATCCAATGTTCAACAATTTTTAGAATATGACATACCAAACTGGACAGTCATCATCTATTGGTTTGCGATTGTGTTGTGGTCTTGAGGCAATATTTTTAAGTTCCTCAACAGTACTTTTGCTTGGCTGCTCATTAGGAAAAAAAATAATTAAATTAATAATTTTCAAAAATAAATCAAAATCTATAAATCTATAAATGTTGCATGAATTTTTATACCAAAATAATCCTAGGGGAGTTATTGAAAATTAATTTTAATTCATTTGAAGTTAGTGCTTTCTGGTAAATAAGATTACTTCGCGGATTGACTTTTAAAATTCGCAATAACACAAAGAGCTAATATATAAATAAATAAGCATTAATATATGAAATTTAAGAATATTTATGCAAGATTATCTAAAATTATTTGCTTACAATGTGTTTACAATGAAATCCTAATATGTAAAGCAAAAAAAAAATCATGGTTAATACATAAATAAAATTAAATCAAAATTTTATGAGGACTTTGTCACATGATTGAATTTACCATTCTGGAAATCAGGGCAGGTACATGACATTTCTTTCGAAATAACAATGGTATAGACCTAAAGAAGACATAAAATAATGTTAATGGAAAAATTGAAAAATGGAAAGAATTTATTATAAGAGTAATTTATTCTACATACACATCCAGTTTCGCCTAGGACTGTGTATTCTTGTTTTGTTGGGTTGATTTCTTCATAGCCAATCAAATATATGGGCTGTTTTATAGCCCTTTCGATTCTTTTCTTAGTATCCTGGAATAAATTAAAATAAGTAAATATATATATATATATTAAATATGAATATATATAAAGGTATATAGCCCTGGTTTAAATTAAACCATATGAATTTATACTAACATTACTACATTCTTTAATGTATCTCGCTGCTCTTCCCTCCTTTCCTTTTCTCTTTTTGGCAGCCTTCTTTTTCCCCCCGAAACTTTCATATTCGGCTGCTTTTCTTTTTCTTAATAAAGAATCTTCTCCATTTCTTTCAGCAACTTCACTTGATGTATTAATATTTCTTTTGCTCCTTCCACCTCGAAGAGATTGAGTATTAGTAGTATCCATATCCATATTGGCTACAATAGAATTAGAAAAGCCTGCGATATTGTCTTGAATAAGATGATTCATACTAATTAAAAAATATGATAAATTTTTAGAAAGTTTAAGATTTTTATTGTAAAAGTTATTTATTGGAAGTTTTTATTAGAAGAGATTTCTTATTGAGAATCAATTTTTAGGAAATTAAAAGTTTAACGATGAGATTTTTTTATTCAAAAGTACATTTTATTTAGATAGATATTTATATACGTCAGATTGGGATACAAAGTCTGTTAACAAAAAAAATATTGATCATAAGTTTATCAGATTTAAACTAAATTAAGTAATGACAATCATAAACGTAATTGTAATTTTTATGACAACTGATTGACTATTTTATTCTCTGATGTAATTTAATAATAAGAATAATAAGATGGATTAGATTATAAAAAAAATAAATCTAACTATTTTTGTAAAATAATAACATTTTTTCAACAAAAGGATTTCTTAAATATTTCTATTTTGAGTTGCTAAAAATATGTCAAATATCTTTTTTGTTTATAAAAACTTAATAATGTAAAAAAATCAATAGTTTATATAATTAATTTAATGAATTAATAATTTAATTATTAATTTTATTATCCGTTTCAACATAAATTGTGAAATTACATTAAAAAAAGTTCCACCTCACGATTTTATACAACTTTTTTCACGATACGATGGAAATAAATAAAATATTCTAATAGCCAATAATAATTTTTCCACTGTATTATAGTTGATTAATGATAATAATTATATAGTTGTATTAAAATCACTTCATAATTACCACTTATCTGCATCTGTTAAATATATAAAATCACATTTGTATAAAGAATAATTACTGTATAATCTTATACTTTATTAACTATTTAATAAATTACAAACATAAATTTGACATTTATTCAAATTGCATTAAGATAAAATCTAGATCACGAGATAATCTGAAAATAGAAGAATAATTCATGAAAATATATTATCATGAAAAAGATTTTTCCCTTTTAACACAACAATCCTTCATCACTAACACACAGGTCAAATACAAAAGATATGCCGTACAAAAAGAATTCCGATTTATAATATAGGATGCGATAGAAAAGTCGATTGTTGCAGATTTTTAGCTGATATATATTGCCGTTCGGTACAGTGATTCTTTTGTATTTGACTAGTGACATCCAGTGACTTCATTCTTCCAATAGTATAGTTTTTAAAAGTAGAAAAAAAAGATTTTACCAATAGTAGAGGTTGTGTTATAGATTGGTACCATTTGAGATTCAAAGAGAGAGAAGCTATTTAAATATATAAATATGTATGTATGTATTTCTTATACATGAAAAAAGATAAGTTTAAACGAAAAATGATTTCTTATCATTATGAAAGAGTATCACTAACAGTAAAGGGAATTTTGGTGGGAAGTCTTTAAAGTTCACCTTGATGACGAGCTTTTTATTACTATATCTACATAAACAAAAAAAATCTGTGAACTTCGGATCTTGCTGATAATTTTAGTTACTGTATTGAATCTTTTAATTTCTATCCTTCCTATGAATTCTCTAATACAAATAAAATAATTTATTTATTGCTACAATGTTATCTTGTGGATTTTCATGTGGGTTTTTAGTGAAAACTTATTTCAGTTATTACTTATTATTAAAATGATTTCTATAATTGATATTACAAAAATAATGTCTTTTTTTTTTTTATACTTTCATTGTATCTATTACATCATGATGAATAATTTATATCATATATTTAAATAATTTATTTATTTTATATATCGAATTTTTAGTTGTATATAATTTTATATTAGTTGGATAAGCCTAATTGTTTGTGTTCTCTTATATTATGATTATTAGTATGACGAAAGAAATATTGGTATAGCGTGATCGAATGCATGATGGAAACAATATATAATATTTATAATATTTTATATTTATTTATTATTGTTATCTCAATATATTGGATTTATTAATATTTTAAATAATTATTTACATATTTTTTTTTCATATTTGACTATTATCAAATTGAAGTAAAATTTTTCGAGATGTAAAAAAGATTTTATGATAAAATTATTTATTCGTATTCTAGATTTGCTTAAATAAATTGCTCCCAAGATAATAATGATGACATTGAGTTAGAAATAATTTAGTTAATTGTATTGTTAAACGAATGCATTGTTTTATTTTAAAGTGAATTATTTATTTATTTTATATATTTTTTCGAATTCACTTTAAATATGTAAATCATTGTAAGTTTGGAGAATATAATTGTAACATGTGATTATGATCATTATCTAATGATCATTATCAAAAATCGAATAGAATTCTGGACAATAAAAATTTTGATTTAATAATAATGATTTTACAGGTATTAAGTTCGTTTATAGCATGTGATTTATGACGATCACCATCTTTGATATTCGTGTGCCTGTTTGTCGATCCTAAAATAAACAATCCATTAACTCTTCTCCTTTTTTTCTAAGAAGATTAAAAAGTAAGTTTATTTGACTATATTCATCATTTTGAGGATTCAACTATTATCAATAGTAAAAAGGAAGTGCTTTAAGAATCAAAATAGAGTTTCATGTTGTTTTTATTTGACTGAATCTTTAGATTTCAAAAATTTCAAAGGGTGTTTTTGTCTTTCTTCTTGCATTTCTTCTCGCTTGCTTCCTTATTTATTTGTTCCTCATTAATGTTTTCGCCATTTTGCATAATATTTCTTAACATTTTTAGCTTCAACTATTGAGTTATATAAATTCTCTTACTTTGATCACGTGACTGAGAGAAACGCTTGTTATATTATTATTAATAATTAATTCTTATAACATTTCTTTAAAATTTCATTCATATTGATGATTTATTTCTATTGACTTTCATCTATTTATCAACGATTTATTTTACTCTTATTAATGATTTTTGTTACTACCATATTTCTTTGTATTATGAATTTTTTTTTTCAACAAGATGAATAATTTCAAGTATCTCAGCAGTAATGGAGAAGGTTCATCCACTAATTTAGGAAAAAGAAAGGCAGCCGAAATTGATGATGGTTCATCAACTGGAGGAAAAAGGAAAGAGACAAGAAAAGAAAAATTTAGACAAGTTTGCAATAAAGTTAGTATTAATTCAATATAATTTAATTTAAATTGAGTTTTATATTTTTATATCTAATATATAAATATTTTTTTTATTCATCACAGAAAACTAAAGAAAGGATTAAACGAGCTATAACTGAGCGCATGTATTTGGTTGGACATAAGGAAATCAACTTCACACAACGTGAATACACAATTTTAGGTCCAACTGGATGTGTATGTAGAATAAATTAATCATGTTGAACAAGTTTTTATTATTAACATTAATTTACATTATATCTTCTTTACTTAGGTTCACACTACTGCAATTACAAATATTCTCTCATGTTCCTGCCCTGATTTCCAAAAAGGTAAAATAAATTCTTGATAATTATATGTGACAAAAATTTGATTTAAATCTATTTTGTATATTGACTATAATCTTTATTTGTTACATTGATTAGGATTTCAATGCAAACATCTTGTAAGTAAAAATTTAAATTTTGAATAATTAAATTTTTCATATGTTGATAATAATACTTAATTATTTCTATATTAGCTATTTATATTTTTAAAAGTTTTGAAAGTAGATCATAACAGTAAACTCATTTACCAGAAAGCACTACTAACAAATGAGTTAAGATCAATTTTTGATAAGGCACCTCGAATTCATTTGGTATGAAAATTTTATCAATATGTATAGAATTTATTTATTTTTCAATAAATTATTAATTAATTTCATTTTTCTTAATGAGCAGCCAAGTAAAAAATTTATTAATCAACTTGAAGAAACCATTGTTTCAATAAAACGACGTCGAAAAATAGGTGATGATTGTCCAATCTGGTATGGGTTATATCTAAATATTGTAGAACATTGAATCAAAATAACCTATCAAATCAATTCAATCTAATCTATTATATTATAATAATTAGTTTTGATCCTATGAATAACAGAGAAGATTTAGTTTGGTGCCAAAGTGGCTGTGGAAATAATATACATCGAAATTGTTTCAATCAATGGAAACAAATAAATCCAACAGTAAAATAATAATTTTAATTTTATATTTTCCAATTGTTTTATTTATTTATTTATTTATTGACTCTTTTTATTTATTTATTTTTCACAAAAAGGTCACTTGCATATACTGCCGAACTGAATGGAGAGACATTGCTCTCCCTATCCATCCCCCTTTACGTATGTCATATTCATCTTTTTATAAAAATTTAATGCTCACTAATTTATATTATGCATATTTTTTTTAACATTATTTATTTATTTATTTAGAGATAAATACAACGAAATTTAGAACTCATCGCACTTAGGATGGGGGTGTAAATATTTTTTATTTTTAAAATTTATAAATATATATATATAATCTTATTACTTTTTTTAAATAAAATCCTATTATAAAATATAAAAAAATTAATTATTCAAAGCGTCTGTTTAAATTACAAAGAAATTAAATACTATTACGAATAAAAATTTCATTTTAGGTTAAAACAATTTAGTATTTTTGATCAATTATAACAAATGAAAAAAAAGAAACTCCCTTGTTAAGCGATAGTTAAAGTTGAGTCAGAATATCAATGAGCTAATATTGATTGTGTGTAATAAAGTATTTGTTGACACTACGAAAAACTTTAATTAATTTAGTAATTATGTGCTTGTGAAATATATTAATGCATGATTTTTCTTCTTTTTTATATATTAATATGCATAACTTTCCATACTTTAAGGATTTACTTTTCCTATAATGTTCTGTGCAGTCGATTCAGTTCTAGTTTACCCTGTTGTATATCAATTTTTAACCTCTTGGATAAATTCTCAATGGATAACTTCCGTCTGAACAGATGTAAATTTTTTAAGCAGAAGAATGACCTGGGAAATACTTTATTTTATCAATTTAAACTTATTTTTTATTTTAAATTTGAATAATAAAGTCGGACTGTAATTATTTGTCAATTGAAATTTCTATTTGATTGTTTAATTTATTTATTAAAAAAATTTGATCTAATTATAATAATTGTAATAAATAAATTTCTGTCTATTCGAGAACAATAATTTAATGAATGACAATGTAAATTTCTTCTTTGTTATAATGTATTGTATTTCTTTAAGATAATACAATTATTATAATTTAAAAACAGATCCTACTTAAGGCAATATTAGTATAATATATTCTTTGTAATGAATGATCAAAATAATTTTACAATATATACATATTAATAAGAAAAAATGGTTTCAAAATCATAAAATAATCGAAATAACCATATGATTTTTTTTTAATAAAACTATTGTGTCGCAAATTCAAAATATCTGAAGAAACTTTGAATTTTTATTCAAAACAAAACTGAAAATGAAATTAATTTTAAATCTTAATTTTGACTTTTAATATATTATACAGTATTTCAAATTATTAATTCAGATTTTATAGGAAATAATATATAACCATTTATAATTTTTAACGAATTTTTTTTAATTTTCATTTATATATTAATTAATTAAAGAATTATTTTTAATAAAGTTTTAATATAAAAGTAAATAAATTAAACTATCTTATTTATAAAATTCATGATTTTTTTCATTACAATGAGAATTCATATTTTAATTTCAATCCATTAATTTGATTTTATTTATTAATTATGATTTATCATTTTTCATTAATTTACAGTTGAATTTTTGGATTTCTTCATCCTTCTGCAAACTTAATAATTGCATTATTTTCAAACCTTTAAGTTTCATTCATTCTTTGAAAGGTATTTTTTTATTTTTTCTATTTATTATGCATTTTACAATCTTTTAAAGGAATTATTTTTAGATTTGAAGCATGGATGATTGGGGAACCTTGTTGAAGAGGTTTGAAAATTCACAAATAGTTCTAGGGTTAGCGTATACGATTTAACAGATGGATTTGATGAATTAGAAAAATCATGTGTCTAAAATGTTTTTATATATAGAATCAGCTGACCGATATAGCCTGTCTGATCTAAAGTTGATGTAATAAACATACCTCCTTCTCTTAAAAAAAATTACTTTCGACTTGATTTTCACCTAAAACTCTATATAACTTTAGTTTCCGAAAATATTAAAAGTAAGTTTATTATTGTTTTTATATTATCTTTATTATTTAAATTATTTAAATGATATCAGTTAATATAAAAATAGTCACTTTTCAATTATGGGTTATATGTTTGCTGTCTTTTATGCAAAGGAACCTCTCAATTTCAAGATTTGAACTGTCACTTTTGTTCTCTTATTGGCTTCTTACCTATTCGCTTGTTTGTTAATTTGATTGAACTATTACTATACTCATTTAACTTTTATATTTTCTAGCAAACTTTTATTATTTTTTTGAGCGATATCTTGATCATGTGGTTTCGAGAAGCAGAAGCTTTGGCTAGGTATTCCAATTTTTTTCATTATAACATGAATTACTTCTAATGTGTCTCCATTATTGAGCAGAAAGATTAATGAAGAATTTGAGAAAGAGGATCTAAATTTGATTCTTCTTAGCTATTCTTGATAGAAAAAATATTATCAATCTATTTGTCTGAGAAAATGTACTAAATTTATTCTTTGCTTCTTTTATATTGAATAAAGATATTTCATATTTAATTTGAGTTGTTAATAAAATTTTTATAATAAAGATTATGACCATTGAATTGCTAGTTACCAAAGTCCCGATGAAGACTGATACATAAAGATCATTTATCAAGGAAATGTCACTTCTAGATGTTGTTTAAGATTACTGTAACATCAGCGATTTGAAGATCATACTATGGATTTTTCTGATTATTTTGCTAGAACTTATCAACATTAGGAGTTTGTGAAGCAATTGAGGTATGATAAAAAAATTAATTAAATTTATGAATTCGTGAATAATATCACTTTATTTATATTTGATATTGGAATGAAATTAATTCTTATTTAAAAATAGGGGAAATAACATATTTGCATAATTGCAAACTTGATAGGAAGCAGGATAGATGATATAGATTTACTTGTTATTTGCAAGCCAGATGTTATATTGATATTATTAATATCTTAGTAATAAATACATCCAATAATCTGTGTAGGTAAGTCCAATAATATGGTGATGGTAATTACAATTTTATTATTATTTATTGTATAATTATCTTTTTTATATATATGTATATATATTATATTTTTCAAGGTTCCAGTGTGCATCTTTCCAACAATCCAAACTTCAATATTTTTTCATTCCACATCAAGGACCATATTCTTATTTTCAATTTCATTTATTACTTGGACAAAAATAGAATGTCTATGCATTTTGATTCTTGGGAAGATGTCGAAAATTCTCAAAAATAAGCATGACTTCATACTGATAATGCAGATGCAGACTAACGACTTATATTTTATTAATGATTCGATTATATCACTATTTTACACATTATTTATAGCAAATTTACCATTAATTGTATTAATGATTTCTGATGATTGCAATTCTCTTTAATACTAACAATTTTTTTACTAATGATTTCTACTACTTGCATTTTTACCTTTTTTTTTCTATTTATATTTTATTTATACTAACAAATGATCTTTATTATTTTTCTAATTCTAGTTTCTACTATACAAACTTTTGAGCAAGCATTTTTATTCGTTGTTAACACTTCTATTTCTTTTTTTCTATTCAATTAAATTAAAATTCTAGTAATTATTTGCTAACAACTCTCTTTTCATATAATCTACTACTTTAATAGAAATAAAAGAAACAAATTTCATCGGAAATATAAAATTTCAACATTTTTTTACTACTAACATTTATTTCTACTAATATTTATTTCGTTTAAAATTTTATTTCTATTACTAATGATTTCTATTTTAGCAATTTCCAGAAAATATTTGGTCTCAACTAGCATTTTTTTTTTATTTATTGTTCTTCGAGGAATCATTTTTGATTTTATATATGTCCTTGGTAAATAATTCTTATTTAGAATTATTTATATTGTACATTACTTTGAGTTATGGATTTTCAAATACTAACATTCTTGATATTTTCAGCATATTTGAATACAATAATCAAGCAGGATTCTTTGCATTAATAACAAAAGGTAGGCCTATTCATAAAGTGTTTAGAAGATTGAGAATTGTTGATCTATAAATTAATGCAATAAAAATTATTTTTTACCAAAATATTTTTTTAGATAAATTTGATACATCAAAAAATCAGAAATAGAAGAGCTAAATTTATAAGATTTGGATAATTGATCAAAGAATTGAAATCAATGCTCAATGGAATAAGATAACTTTTATTTTATTATTTACTTTTTTCCATTTTATTTTCTTATTTTTTTCTTTAAAAAATAAATTGTCAATACCATATGAGATTATTCAAACTAACAAAGATCAAAACAGTCGAGGCCAAAAAACAATTGACTGTAATTAAACTATATTTTCGTCTCTATATCAACCAAACAAGTCTAGTTCTAGTATCAGTAATCCTCCATTCCAAAAATTATTACATCTGCTTCCACTTCTATGGAACTAGATGAGTTTACTTCGTGCGCCATTTCTTCTTTATGAAAGAACTGACCATTCTTTTTACTGTGGTAAGTATTCATGGATGATACTATAATATTACATGTATTTTAATAGGAAACAGAAAATCTCACAAGTTATTTTTCTACTTTTTATTTTAGAACAATATTTATTTTAACAACATTATCAAGTGAAAATGTATCCATTTCGATGAAATACCTTCAATAATTCCTAACCAAGGATAATTGCAACAATTTGGAATAAAAAGAACCTATCTCATTTCTTTGATCATCACGAACAATCATTATAATGATCTTAAATATGCACAAAAAGTCTGGTCAAAAATCACTGAAATTCCGTTGAAGCTATATCGAATTGACCTTCCTCAAATGTATAAACTTCGAAATTTATCTTGATGGAAGCAGGATTTGGATTGGTTTTCTTGCCAAGCATGTCGAAGCATACAAGGAAATTTCCACTGATCCATCAAAATATTTAGATTCCATTATGACTGATCACCAATTGGGATCGGTCATAATCAA